TCAGATGTGGTTTCCTTTGTAGGTCACCAGCTGATTTTTCTCTTTCTAACTTTAAAATTCTTTCTTTCACTGACTTTAGACATTCTGAATATATATGCTGTGGTGACTCCTTTTTGCAATGTATTTGCCTTGGGATAGGAAGTTCTCCGCAATTGTTTCCTTAAATTATTTTCTAAATTTTTTGATTGCTCTTCCTTCCTCATGAATACCAACAATGCATAAGTTCTATAGCTTTATGTAGTCCCAGACATCTCAAAGCTTTGTTCATTCTCTTCTATTCTTTTATCTTTATTTTTATCTGACTGGGTTATTTCAAAAGACCTTTCTTCAAGTTCTGAGATTTTTTTCTTCTATTTAGCCTATGATTGAAGTTTTGAATGTATTCACTATTTCCTTCAATGATTTTTTTTTTGTTCTAGAATTTCTGCTTGGTTTTATTTTATTTTATTTTATTTTTCATGGCCAAAGCCTTTTAGTAAAGAGAATAATTTTATTTTGATAAAAAGTATATTTCAAAATAAAAACGTAATGTTAGTAAATCCTAAAGCATCAAGTAACGTGAAAAGCATAGTAAAACTTGTGAGTCATGTAAGAGAAAAATGACTTGTACATCTATAAAACCAAAGAGATTCCATTATAAAGCTACTCGAATTGATAAAAACAGAGTTCAACAAAATGGTAGGATGAGATAAATATACAAAAATCAATAGCTAGCCTGTATAATAACAATAATATATTAAAATTATGATGAAAAAAGAAATAGCATGGAAAATATAATAATGGTAGGGAGCACAGTGGGATCAATATTTGATCAAATTAGTATAAAATTTGTTTAGAAGAATAAAACATATAGAATAACACACATGTGCACACATACAGGCATATACGTTAAAGGCAAGAATAATGAGGACTAATTAGCCCTACCAGATCTTAGATGATCTTATGCTTGAATAATTAAAGCAGTGTGGTATTGATGCAAAAACAGACAGATAAATGAACAAAATAAATAACCTTGAAATTGATCCTGGGCTCAAGCAATCTTCTTCCTGCCTCACCCTCCTGAGCAGCTAGGACTACAGGCTTGCACCACCATGCCAGGCTATTTTTTTTTTTTTTTTTATTGTAGAGACAAGGTCTTGCTATGTTGCCCAGCCTGTGTCTCCAAAAGTGCTGGTATTACAGGCATGAGCCACTGTTCCCAGCCCTTCAATGTATCTTTTTTTTTTTTTTTTTTTGAGACAGAGTCCTGCCCTGTTGCCCAGGCTGGCATTCAGTGTCATGATCTTGGCTCACTGCAACTTCCACTTCCCAGGTTCAAGCAATTTCCTGCCTCAGCCTCCCGAGTAGCTGGGACTACAGACATGCGCCACCACACTTGGTTAATTTTTGCATTTTTAGTAGAAGTGGGGTTTTGCCGTGTTGGCCAGGCTGGTCTCGAACTCCTGGCCTCAAATGATCCACCCGTGTTGGCCTCCCAAAGTGCTGGGATTATAGGCATGTGCCCAGCCCAATGTGTCTTTTAATTCTGTTATTGCATTTTAGGTTTTCTTGCATTGTTTTATTTTGGTGATCTTTATTTACATTCATGATTTTATCTCAAATTGGTATTCTCATATAATTTCCTGAACCTGTTTTATAGCATGATAATATAAGCGTCTACTCTACTGAAGTTGCCAGTTTTGAAAATAATTTTTTTAGAGTTATATTTCATAATTTTGGAGGTATAATTTCCTTCTTCCTTTATCACATTTTTTTTTTCTATTTTATAGTCACCCTCACATTGGATTTTTGTGTGTGTGGGTAATTCCTCTGTAATTCTGGTACTTGATTGTCATTTATAATTTTGGTGTTTTTGTGAATGTTTTAATCTTCCTACATATTTTGGTGAAAAGTATGGAGAGACACTGCTAGACACTGTTGATTTTGTATTTATATTTAAGAACTTTTCCACTGTCCAGCCGTGGCTGACTGAGCCAATCCATTCTGTGTTTAGCAGTGTCTGATTAAGGTTTAGATACTGTTAAGTGGTTGTCTCAGATGTTACAGACTAAAGGGAGAATTTTATCACCATATGATATAGCTGGAGAGGTCTACAGTCATTGTTACTATTTTCAGCAGTGCAACTTAAGGATACTGTGTCCCTTCACGATTGTAAATATGGTATACAGAGTTTTGGTGTCTTAATAGCCAAAATAATACCATTAAGCACAGAAACATTTGAGCTGAGTTTAAGCCTGACATTGGAAGTTTTGATAAATTACTGAATATAATCCCATCTCCAGTCTACTCTAGACTATTCTTAAGAAATAATGTGTTTTAGTTTTCCAGGACAAAGCTGGTTTAGTCTGATTGTTTCAATGTAATTACTAATAGCAACCCTGTTGTTTTCAAGATTATCAAGATTTAGATGATAAATTATGTGGTCACTTTACTTTGAAGGATTTTATTTCTGATCTTCTTACAATCATATTACCCATGTGATGTAGATGCTTTCATAAATGAAATACTTCCTTACCTTATGCTTCCATTACCATCTCTTGAAGATACCGCTGTCTCATCTTTATACCACAAAGAAAACTTCTGTTTTCAAAGATGTTTTTGTTAGGATTCATTCCCAATTCGTGTCCCAGATATTGAGGACAATTTCCAAAGCCTTACATGTTTTCATTATCTGTCTGCTGCCACCACTGTATTAGTCAGGTTTTCCCCCAGAAACAGAACCAATAGGATCTGTCTGTCTATCTGTCTATCTCTCTATCAATGTATAGATACATGTGAGGATATTTATTATGAGAATTGGCTCACACGATTATGGATGCTGAGAAGTCCCATGATATGCCATCTGGGAAAGGTAATAGTGTAATTCAGTCTGAATCTGAAGGCCTGAGAACCAGAGGTGCTGATGGTATAACTCCCACTCCAAGGTCAAAAGCTTAAGATCTGGGAGGCCATTGGTTTGAGTCCTGGAATCTGAAGGCCCAGCAATCAGGAGCTCCAATTCCAAGGGCAGGAGAAGATGGATATCCCAGCCAAGAAGAAAGAGAGAATTTATTGTTGCTCTGCCTTTTTGTTCTCTTCAGGCCCTAAGTGATTTGGATGACACCTGTCTACATTGGTAAGGGTGGATCTTCTTTAGCCCATCTACTGATTCAGATACATATATTTGCTAGAAACACTCTTTATAGACATACTGAGAAATAATGTTTTACTGGCTATCTGGTCATCTTTTAGCCCCATCAACTTGACACATAAAATTAACCATCACAAGCACCATTGTACTTAACAGAGCTGGTCAATCTTAGATCTCACAAATTCAAATGTTCACTCAATTTATGTGTGTTTTACCTCTCACCTTTCCCTATGGAATTCAGTTTGTGAATGTACTGTCTTCTGTGTATGCTTCATCCCATATTCTGAGATACTTTTTGACTCTTGGCTAACTCTCACTCTCATGATCTCAGTTTCAGTTACAGCTTTAGATAAAAGTCCGTGTCCTTTTTCTAACATTGGACCCATAGAGTCCCATCTACTTGCTGTGGCTAGTTTTAGCTACCCATTCTGGATTTTTTTTTTTCCTCAAATAGACAAATTCAGACAAAGGAAATATGAGATTTAATGAAGAATTATTGTATAAATAGATTTGTATTTTAATGAAACTAACCCATTCCTACCTAACTCAACCCAAGCCTTCTCTTACTTGGGCAGCAATTTAGATAATAGACTGAAGAGGCAAATTTGTAGTTAAGACTAGCTGCAATGATAGTAAAGATGTACTATGGGAGTGGGAGTGGTTCAGAATTGAAATTTTTTTTAGGCTATCGAATTGACAAGTCTTGATTAAACTGATCTGTTAAATCAGTGTTTCTCAACCTCTGCACTGTTGACATTTTGGCCCAGATTATTCCTGTTGTGAGAGGCTTATCTATGTATTGCAGGATGTTTAACAGCATGCCTGTTCTCCATCCACTAGATGCTAGTAGCGGCCCTCAGCTGTAAGAAAGGAAAACATAATTGAGCACTGCCAAATGTCCCCCTGGGGGGAAAAACACCTCCAGTTGAGAACTACTGTGTTAAATAAATGGCATATGCTTTGTCTTGCAAACTGTTACAGGGTTAGCAATAATTATTTCTATGATAATAAGTTTAAAAAGTAGATATTATTCATAATAATACAATGTTTTTATGCCTGAGGATTGCAAGGTTGGTTTAACACTTGAAAATTAATTAGTGTAATTCACTACATTAACAGAAATTGGCATACTTTCAAATAGTTGATGAGAATTCGCAATCTCTCTTCTGAATGTTTGTGTCGTACATCATGTTGTTCTTCTGTTTTATTTTCTCATCAAGTTTTCAGCATCCCCTACATATCAGGAATATTGATTTTGTTAACTTTTTCCTGCCATATAGATGTATCTTTCCTAGACTCTTACTACATTTTGTTACACAATTAAAAATATTGTGTTATTAAATGTACCCATATTTCTTTTGTGAATTCAGGAATTCCTTTTTTATTTAAAAGAATCTTGTCCTTCCAAATGCTTTATAAAAATTATCCTATACATTCTGAAATTTTATTTTGTTTCACAGTTGGATCTTTATTGCAGTTGGATTTTATTTTTGTATTTGATATGTGATAGGGTATATAACCTGATTATGTGAGCTTCATTTATTAAAACATATTTACTACAATGAATATAAATGCCATTTTAAAATATCTTTTCCTTTTTATGTATTTCTATTTTAGATTTCTATTCTGTTTTATTGATACAGTTATCTATCATTGCACAAATACTTTGTTTTTAATACTTTAGTAAGTTTTAATGTCTTTATTTTCACTCTTCTATAACCTGCTTCTCCCTTAGTTGCCTTACCTGAATAAATACTATTAATAACTCTGTCAGATACTGCTTTAGTCCATCTGTGTTGACATAAGGAAATACTTGAGGCTAGGTTATTTATAAGGAAAAGAGGTCTTATTTTGTCTCATGGTTCTTTAGGCAGTACAAGAAACACGGTGCTGGCATCTGCTTCTGGCGAGGGCCTCAGGGAGCTTCTACTCGTGGAGGAAGGTGAAGTGGGAGCAGATATGTCACACGGTGAGTGTGGGAATGAGAGGGTAATGGGAGAGGTGCTACACACTTGAACAACCAGATTTCACCTAAACTGAGTGAGAACTCACTTCTCCCCAAGGGGATGGTGCTAAACTATTCATGAGGGATCCTCCCGTATAATCCAAACATCTCCCAACAGGTGCCCCACTTTCAACACTGAGGATTACATTTCAACATGAGATGTGGAGGGGACCAGTATCCAAACCATATCAGTTATTCAATTGGAAAACCTTAAGAGTTTTTCTTGACTGCTTACTTTCTCTCACAATCCTTATTCAAGGCACTAGAACATTCTTTTCTTTCTTTTATCAAAATACGTAAAAAATTCCACCACTTTTCACCACCTCCACCACTTTCACATTTACCGTCTTAGTTTATTCTATTATCTTTTTTGTTGTCCTGGACTATTACAATAGTTGCTTGATCCCCCCTTTTCTAATCTTGATCATATAGCAGCCAGAGTGGTCTTCTTAAAATATAAATCACATTCTCATTCTCTCCAACTACTTTCCAAAGAGCTGCAGGCTTAGCATACACATTGTCTGCCTTCCAAGTTGTAGCAGTCAACAGTTCTACCAAATGGCATGTTGTTTTTATCTGTTCCTTTGCCTTTTAACAATCAAATGCTAAACCAATGCCACTAATTTAAAATTTATTGATTTAGGTAAGGGTATTCTCAGTGCTTCAAAAGCAGTGTCAAAATCGCAATGCCTTAATATAACTGAAGTTTATGTCTCTCTCATCTAATAGTTTAATGAGAGTCAGTGGATAAGTTTCTTATCCATAGAGTCATCTGGTTACCTAGACTCCTTCTATCTAGTGGCTACATTCCATAAGGCTTAGGAGTCCTCCATTGCATCTTCCCAACTACTTGGAATGAAAATTTGTAGAGCAGGTTTTAGAGGACAGACCTGGGTGTGTGTGTGTGTGTGTGTGTGTGTGTGTGTGTGTGTGTATGTGTGTTGATTACTTTTTCATATACTTACTGGCCATTTGTATGTCTACTTTTATGAAAAAGTCTATTTTGGTCATTTGCCCATTTTTAATTGGATTATTTGGGGTTTGGTGTTGAATTGCTTGAGTTCATTATATTTTGTTTTTATATTAATTCCTTATCAAATTTATGGTTTTCTGCCAATCCATAGATTGCCTTTTCATTTCATTGACTTTTTTCTTTGCTTTGCACAATTTTTTTTTTTTTTTTTTTTTTTTTTTTTTAGTTCTTCACTACTCTGCAGAGGTTCTACTTGTTTATTTTTGCTTTTGTTGCCTGTGATTTTGGTGTCATACCCAGAAAATCAAGAATTATGTCAAGGAGCTTTTCCCCTATGTTTCCTTCCAGACGTTTTATGGTATTATGCTTAAAATTTTAATTCATTGAATTGATTTTTGTGTATGTGTCAAATAAGTGTCCAATTTTATTTTTTGCATGTGGATATCCAATTTTCTCAACCTGATTTATTTAAGGAATTATGTTTTCTTCATTGTGTATTGTTGGCACCCTTGTCAAAGATTAATTGATCATATATGCCTAGGTTTATTACTGGGCTCTTCAACCTATTTGTTTGACCTATGTGTCTGTTTTATTATTATTATTATTTTTATTTTATGTGTCTGTTTATATGCCATTACCATACTGTTTAAATTTTATTTATTATTTGTTTTATTATACATTGAAATTTATAGCTGTATTTATTATGGGGTATGAAGCAATGTTATGATTTATGAGTATAATGTGGAATACTTAAAGCTAATTAACACATCTATCAGCTCAAATATGAACTTTTTTATAGTGAGAACATTTGAAATTTACTCTCATAGCAATTTTCAAATGTGCAATATGCTATTATATTCACCATGCTGTACAATAGATATCAAAGAAACCTTTATTCCTCATGAATAACTGAGATTTTATACTTTTTGACATCATCTCCTTATTACCCCCACCTGCAGCCTCTGCAGCCACCATTCTGCTCTCTTCTTCTATGAGTTCAGTTGTTTTATCTTCCACATGTAAGTGAGAACATGTGGTATTTGTCTTTCTGTGCTTGGCTTATTTTACTTAGCATAGTGTTCTACAATTCTATCCATGTCATTGCAAGTGACAGAATTCCAGTTTTAAAGGCTGCATAGTATTCTACTCTGTCTGTGTACTACATATTTCTACATTATCCATTCATCCATTGATAAACAGGTTGATTCCATTACTTGGCTATCATGAATACTGCTGCCTGCAGTGAACAAGGGAGTGCAGACATTTCTTTGACAAACAGGTTTTAAACTTTTGGGTAAATACCCAGAAATGCAATTGCCAGATCATATGGTGATTCTATTTTTAGTGTTTTGAGGAACCTCCATATTGTTTTTAATAGTGGATGTACTAGTTTACATTCCCGCTAACAGTGTACAAGAGTTACCTTTTCTCCATATCCTCACCAACATTTATCTTTGGTATTTTTGATAATAGACATTCTGACCGATGTGAGATGACATCCTAATTTGCATTTCCTTAATGATTAATGATGTTGAGCTTTAAAATATATATATATATCTTTTCTATTTTTGTGTCTTCTTTTGAAAAATGTACATTCAGTCCCATGACCCGTTTTTTAAATCGGGTTTTCTATTTTCTTACTATTGAGTTCAGTTCCTTATATATTTTGTGTATTAAATCCTTGATGAATGTATGGCTTGTACATGTTTTCTCCTAATTCATAGGTTGTCTCTTCAAATTATTAATAGTTTCCTTTGCTGTGCAGAAACTTTTCAATTTTATGTAATCATACTTGTCTATTTTTACTTTTGTTGCCTGTGCTTTTGGGGTCAAATAAAATTTTTTTTTATCTATACCAATGCTGTGCAGCTTTTACTTTATGTTTTCTTCTAATAGTTTTACAGTTTCTGGTATTACCTTTAGATTTTAATGTGAGTCTAATTTTTGTAAATGGTGTGAGATAATGGTTCAATTTAATTCTTTGCTTGTGGGTATCCCATTTTCCTAACGCTATTCATTGAAGACTATCCTTTCCCCATTGTGTATTCTTAGCACCTTTGTTGAAAATCAATTGGCTATATAGGCGGGGTTCATGTCTGCATTTTCTGGCCTGTTCCATTGGTTGGTGTGTCTGCTTTTTTTTGCCAGTACCATGCTGTTTTAATTACTGTAGTTTTATAGTATAGTTTGAAATTGGGTAATAAGATGCCAACAGCATTGCTCTTTTTGTTGGTGATTGCCTTGGCTATTCGGGTTTTTTTTTTTTGTGTGTGTGTGTGTGTGGTTCCATATGAATTTAAAATTTTTCTATGTCTGTGGAAAGTGACATTGAAATTTTAATAGGATTGCATCGACACTATAGATTGCTTTGGGTAGTGTGGACATTTTTAAAAATCATGGGATATCTTTCCATTTATTTGTGTCTTCAATTTCTTTCATCAATTATTTTATCATTTTTAATGTACAGGTCTTTTACCTCTTTGGTCAAACTTTTTCCTAATTTATTTTTTAAATAACTTTAAATTAGATCATTCTCTTCATTTCTGTTTTGGATAGTTCATTGTTAATGTATAGAAACACTACAGATTTATGTGTGTTAATTTTGTATTGTGCAACTTTACAGAATTCAACATTTTTTGATGGAGTCATAAAGATTTTTATGTATAATATTATATTGTTAACAAACAATGATAATTTTATTTCTTCCTGGTCTATTTGTATGCGTGTTATTTCTTTCTCTAGCCTAATTTATTTGGTTGGGACTTCTAGCACTAATGCTGAATAGAAGTGGTGAGAGTGGGGCATTCTTGTCTTGTCCAGATCTTAGAGGAAAGGCTTTCAATTTTTAACTGTCGATTATAATGTTACCTGAGGGCTTGTCATATATGACCTTTATTGTGTTTACATACATTCCTTGTAAATGTAATTTGGCGAGAGTTTTTTTTTTTTTTTTTTAAATCATGAAAGGATGTTGAATTTGGTCAAATGCCTCTTCTGCATCTATTGAAATGATCATGTGCTTTTTGTCCTTTAGTCTGTTAATATGATATATCACATTTATTGATTTGTACATATTGAACCTTCTATGCAACCCTAGGGTAAATCTCACTTGACCTTGATAGGTGATACCTTTAATGTGTTGTTGAATTTGGTTTGATAGTATTTTATTGAGGATCTTTGCATCTATGTTCAGCAGGGATATTGGTCAGTAATTTTTTTTTCTTGTAATGTCCTTATCTGGTTTTGGTATTAGGGTAGTGGTGGTCTAGTAAACCGAAATTGGAAGTATTCCCTCATTTTCAATTTTTTGGAACAGTTTAAGAAAGATTGGTATTAATTCTTTTTTAAATTCTTGGTATAATTGAGCACAGAAGCTCTAAAATCCAGGACTTTTCTTTCATGGTAGAGTTTTTCTTACTGACCTAATCTCATTACTAATTATTGGTCTGTTCAGATTTTCCATTTTTTTACTGATTTAGTCTTGCTTGGTTGTATGTTTCTAGGAATTTATTCATTTTTCATTTATTCATTTTTCTATGTTATCCAGTTATTGGCATGTAATTGTTTATAGTAGTCTCTTTTGATTTTTTTTTGGTCTTTATGTTACATCAGTTGTAATATCTCCTTTTTTGATTTTATTTGAGTCTTTTTAAAATTTAGTCTACCTAAAAGTTTTTAAAACTTTACCATTTCAAAGAATCAAGTCTTAGTTTCATTGTTCTTTTGTATTGAATTTTAGTCTCTATTTCATTTATTTCTGCTCTAATCTTCATTATTTCCTTTTTCTGCTAACTTTGGCTTAGTTCATTCTTCTTTTTTCTAGTTCCCTGAGGAATAATGTTAAATTGTTTATTTGACATCTTTCATCTTTTTTTGATATAGACATTTATTGATATAAACTTTTCTCTTAGAACTGCTTTTGCCATATTCCATATCCCCTAAGTTTTGGTATGTTGTATTTTCAGTTTGATTTGTTTCAGCTTATGTTTTAATTTTCCCTTTAGTTTCTTTATTAACACATTGGTTTCCAGGACCATATTTCATTTCCATGTATTTGTGAATTTTCTAAAATTTATTCTGCTATTGATTTCTAGTTTTATATCATTGTGGTGAGAAAAGATATTTGATATGATTTCAATCTTCTTAAATTTGCAAAGGATTTTTGTGCCTTATGTGTGATCTTTTCCAGAGAATGGCTGCATGTGCTTGAGAAGAATGTGCATTCTAGTGCTGTTGAATGGAATATTCTGTATATATCTACTTGATCTAACGTATAGTTTAAGTCCAATATTTCCTTATTAATGTTCCATCTGTGTGATCTGTCCATTGTTGAAAGTGGAGTATTAAAGTTCTCTGCTATTATTGCATTACAGTTGTTTTTCCCTTCAGACATTTAATATTTGCTTTATGTTTTTAGGTTCTCCAGTATTTGCAGCATATATATGTTTACAAGTGTTACATTCTTTTGATGAATTGACCCCTTTATCATTATATAGTATGCTTCTTTGTCCCTTTTTACAGTTTTTGACTGGAAGTTTATTTTTTTGATATAAATATAGTGACCTCTGCTCTCTTTTGGTTTCCTGGGGAGATAACTACTGAATATTGGCAAGTTTAAAAGTCACCTTTTTGTTCTTGTGGTCTAGGAGACTCAGGAGTTCAGAGTTCTGTCAGCTCCCACAGGTAGGTGATTTGATAGTCAGTTTCTTGGGTGAAGGCTACAAAAGTCGGGGTCCTTGATGTGTGTATAAACTACGAGAGAGAGAGAGTCCTCAGATCTGGATTTATTGCTGGAGGAAGCCAGGGAAGAATGTGCAGGGGTGCTCACTATTTTGTTCAAGCAAGCAGAAGTCTCACACCCTCCTAGCAGTTGGGGAGACTTTGGGTCTGGAGTTGTCTTTGAAGCAAGCCAGAGAAGCAGGTGCAGGGAGTAGGTACTTTTTCCTTTTTGATGTATATATTTATATCAAATATATATATAGACATATTTCCATATATATGCAATATATATGGATACTATATATATGAAATATATATATGGGTGCCATATATATGTATATGAAATATATATATGGGTACCATATATATGTGTATGAAATATATATATGGGTACTATATATGTATATGAAATATATATATGGGTACTATATGTATATGAAACAAGACCCTTACTTCTTGGGAAGAAGCTTGTAGTAGGGGCTTCCTTCCTTATTATAAGGTGCTGTTCTCAATGTGGGGTTAGTACAGGGAGTGGGGTTAGTGCAAGGAGTCCTTTTCCCATTGCTTATTTTTGTTAGATAGATAAAGCAAATGTTAGAGCTAAAGAGAGAGATAGACCCCAATACAATAATAGCTAGATTTCAGCACTCCGCTTATAACATTGAACAGATCTCCCAGGCAAAAAATCAACAAAGGAACTTCGAACTTAATCTGCACTATAAATTGGGCTGGTAGATATTTAAAGAATATTTTAATTATTGGTTGCAGAATATACATATTTCTCAGCACATGGATCATTCTGATCTGTATAATATTCATTACTGGGTTGATCCAAAATAATTGTAAATTAAGATCAATTTTTATATTTATATGCTGTGTCAGTTAGAAAATATAGCCCCAAATTCTCTGAGGCTTCTTCCAGTTAGGAAATGGGGTCTACCCAACCTCCTGTGAGTTTAGCTGGCTTATATTCATTTTCATTAATAGAATAGATAGAAGTGATGCCATGTGGTGTCTGCCTGGCTCTTGGCACACAGTCTCTGAAAGATTTATCTTAAGATATTTTCTCTCAGAATCCAGCTGCCATTCTATGAGAAGTTCAAGGCAAAGGAAGGCCCCATGTAGGTTCCTGGTTAACAGCTTTAGCTGAGGCAGACATGTGAGTGAGTGATTAAACCTCTAGATAATGGTGTTATTTGAAGCAAAAAAATTTAATTTTGAAGTTCAATTTATCTATATTTTCTTTTGTTAACTTGTGCTTTTGGTGTCATATCCAAGAAACCATTGCCTAAAGCAAAATCACAAAAATTTACTTCTCTATTTTTTATAAAGGGTTTTATAGTTTTAACTCTTAATATTTATGTCTGCAGTCCCCTTTGAGTTGCCTAGAGTGTGAGATGAGGGTTAATGTTTATCCTTTTACCTCTAGATATTCAGTTCCCAGCACTAGTTGTTGAAAATACTATTTTCTCCCCACTGAATTTTCTTAGTGCTCTTGTAGAAAAAATTGCTTGGCCATAAATGTAAGGGTTTATTTCTGAACTCTCAATTCTATTCCATTTATGTATATCCTTTGCTTATGCCAGTGCCACACTCTTGATTATTTAAATTTTGTACTAAGTTTTTAAATTGGGAGTGAAAGGCCTCCATATAGTTTTTTCTCATTTAAGATTGTTTTGGTTGTTCTGGATGCCTTAAATTTACATATAAGTTTTAGTGTTGCCTTTTCAATTTCTCCAAAAAAAAGCACTAATTGGTTTTTTAATAGGGATTAAGTCAATCTGTAAATCAGTTGGAATGTATTATCCTTTTAACAATATTGTCTAACAATATATAACCATAGGATGTCTTCTCATTTATCATATATTCGTCAATTATTTTCAATGATTCTTTGTATTTTTAGTATACAGGCCTTTATACTTAATTTAAAAAAAGTCATTCTTTAACTGTTTTATTTTGATACTATTGTTAATTTTCAAACTGTTAATTGCTAGTATATAGAAATACAAGTGAGTTTTGTATATTGATCTTATAATTTGAAATCTTCGCAAAATTGATTTCTTCCAATAGGTTTATTATTTCCTCTTTGGGATGTGTTTGTGTGTGTATAGGTGTTTCTTAAATTTCTTTATAAAACATTTGTAAGTTGAGAGGTTTACTTCTTCCTTTTCAATCCAGATACATTTTATTTCTTTTCTTTTTTCTGGGAGGGGGTGTCTCGTTTCTTTGGCTAGAAACTCCATTGTAGTGTTAAACAGAAGTGATGAGACATCCTTATCTTGTTTTTGACTTTAGTGGGAAAGCATTAACCATTAAGTTTGATGCCAGCTATGAAATTCCCTTTCATTTTCAGTTTGTTGAGTGTTTTTCTAAAGAAAGGATTTAGGAGTTTGCTTTTTTTCAGACTATTGAGATGATTATAAAGGGAATCATTTTTAAATATCATTTAGTATATCGATTGGTTTTCAGTTATTAAACCAAGCCAGCATGGGATTGTTAATTTTCGCTCTTGTTTTCTTATTCTTTCTTTTATTTATATAAATAAATATATATATATTCTTTCTGCTTACTTTAATTTAATGTCCTCTTCTTTTTCTAGCTTATAAGATAGAAGTTTTGTTGACTGTGGTCTCTTTTCTTTTTCAGTGTAAGTTTGCAGTTGTAAACTTCCTCTAAGCATCACTTTAGCGGCATCCCATAAGTTTTCATGTGATGTGTTTTTGTTTTTCTTCATCTCAACCTATTTTCTAGTCTCCCTTATGATTTTTTCCTTGACCCATTGGTCATTTAGGAATGTGTTGTTTAAATTCCACTTATTTGTGAATTCCTCAAATCTCCTCCTGTTATTGACTTCTAATGTCAGTTCATATAGATTGAAGAACACCTTTGGTATGAGTTTAATACTATTAAATTTATCAGGGCTTGAGTTGTGGCCTAACATATTGCATATCTTAGAGATTTCCAAGTATATTTTAGAGCAACATGCATTTGTCTGTTGGGTGGAGTCTTCTATGGGTATCTATAGACTTCCAATGAGCTCTACTTAGTGTATTGTATTCTTCAATTCCATTTTCTTCTTGATCTAATGCTTAGTTGTTCAATCTATTATTTAAAATGGGATATTGAAGTCTCCACCTATGATTGTTGTAGTATCTATCTGTAATTGCTAATGATTGGGCATGAAAGATCACATATAGGATTTTAACCTGGAGCTGGGCTCCTCAATTTGCAGAGACACACTGGGCTCCTCAGTTTGCATGCACGCACACACACACACACACACACACACATGCATACACACATATTCTTATGTACACAAACATGCATATACATACAAATAAACATATTTAGAAATCAGGAGTTCTCATGGACATCTTCAATTCCAGTTTATCCTCTCAGGTCTTATTCTTGCCTTCCTTCATTTTGTAAGTATTTGTTTTCTTTTCCACAGTGTAAACCTGACTGAACATTAATGACACATGTACTCATTTGCTTTATCCTCTAATGCTCCTCAATTTGTTTTAGAATTGCTTAGCTCATAGCACTAGAAAAACAAATTTACTAAAATATTTTGTGATTTTATTTGCACCCCACTCTCTTGACCAAGACTAATATTTGTCAAATTTTTATTCACAGGTTACTTGAATTAATGCTTTGCATTTTTCCTCAGTAGGTTCACTTATTTCTTTGAGTAACAGTTTCCCTTTCTAATTCTATTGATTTAGCTTTATATAGGAATTATGGATTAACTTACTTATATATAGGAATTATGCATTAACTTACTTCCCAAAGTGAAAAATATGGAAAAGGTATACTTAGAACAGTTTCATTCCTCCTGTATCTCTTCCCTTTGTATTTCTCCAGTAAAGGTAACCATGTATGTTGTTTTCCGGTTTGTTTTTCTTGTATTACATTTCATGAAGGCAATTTTCTGTCTATTTCAATATTTTTCTTCATCTCTCCTTCATTCTTATCTAAAAGGTAGCATTCTAGATATGCATTTTTCTATTTTCGTTTATTTGCCTTCTGCCTACTTAACATTATGCCTGGAAATAATGAAACAGCAACATACACCTATTAAAACTTCTCACAATTTTCATGTGAGATCTATCTCAATGGTAATGTACTCATCACTTTATGAGAATGAGAGAAAATGCTGCTGTGTACATGTTTAAAATGTGAAATTTGGAGATTTCACAATAGATCTCTTTCTCTATTTGGTAGACTAAATGAATCTTTTTATGTAGCTTACAGTGAAGTTCCGGATGAAAATCTTATGGTTGAAAATAAAGATTCAGTAACAAAAGTCCAAGTAGAACAAATGAAACAAACAACTTCTAGTATGGAAAGACGCGAGGGTAAGTATAATAATTATAGATATCTTTACACTATTTTATTTTATTTTTATTTTTTGAGATGGAGTCTCGCCCTGTCACCCAGGCTGGAGATTGTGGCACGATCTTGGCTCACAGCAACCTCCACCTCCCAGGGTCAAGCGATTCTTCTGCCACAGCCTCCTGAGTAGCTGGGATTACAGGTGCACACCACCACATTGGCTACTTTTTGTATTTTTAGTAGAGATTGTGTTTCACCATGTTGGTCAGGCTGGTCTCAAACTCCTGACCTCATGATCCACATGCCTTGGCCTCCAAAAGTGCTGGGATTACAGGCGTGAGCCACTGCTCCTGGCCCTTTACACTATTTTAAGTTAACTCATCAGAAGGTCTTTTTTCTTTGGGTCATGAATATTTGAACATATAATTTGTAGAAATTTTATACTTTGACCTAAATGTGAATACTGCAAAAATAACTAGAGAACTAAAGTGAAAGCTTTGATACCTTTTGATTGGTATTTGCATAGTCAGTGACTACTATGTAACAAGATTGCCTACACATGAGAATTTTCTGCTTCACATCCAGGGTCTGTTTTAACGAATAGCTCACTGCTATAACTTCCTAGTCCTATTCCATTAATTTTACACAAATAAGAGGAAGTATTGCTGATTACTTGACATATACAGAAGTTTTATCATAGATCTGTTTTTCTATGTAGCGACTCTTACAACCCCACAATCGCCTGAGGACGTGGTTTTAGTTTCAAGAAGTCAATCTGAAACTAAAAATCTTGAAGCTACTGGAAATGAGAGTTTTCATTGTAAGTAGTAAGTTTAAAATATTATAAAATTATTTTCAATTATATTCAACAGCTCTTTTTATGGTTCATGAATATATCCTCAACTATTTTTTTGTAATTATTTTGTATATACTTCTAGATCTATACTGGTCTGTACAATGACTGAATTAGATGTGTTAATTTTTCTACTATGATTGTGAATTTCCTTGTTCCTTTTTATAATAATGTCAGGTTTTACTTTATATCTTATGACATTTTATTATTAATGTGCATATAAATTTAAAATTAACAATCTTGCTGGAAGAAATAAACTTTTGTCCTAATGAAGGGACCTGCTTTATCATTTTTACAGCTTTTGTTTGTTTGCCTTAAAAACTATCATGTCTCCCTGTAATCTCAGCACTTTGGAAGGTAAAGGTGGGCGAATCTCTTGAAGCCAGGAATTCAAGACCTGACTGGGCAATGGAGTGAGACCCTCATTGCCACAAAAACAAAACAAAACCCAAAACAAACAAACAAACAAAAAAAACCTATCACATCTGCTATTAATGTAAATCTACCAACTTTCTTCTGATTGGTGTTTGCATGATACATTTTATTTTTCATCCTGGTAACTTAACATTCCTGTTTTTTGGTGGGTTTTTTTTTTTCTGTATCTCTTGTATGAAGCTTATAGTTGTATATTTTTCAAATTCGGTCTAATATTTTTTGTCTTTTAATTAGCTCTCATAAAACACATTTAGTCTTATTATTGATATTTCTATGTTTAAGTATACCATTTTCTTTGGCCTTCCTATTTTATCTGCCTGATAAGTTTATTGTAGTCTCCTTTATGCTCTATTACTTAATATCATTACATACTTTTTCCTTGGACAAATGATACCAAATATTTTAAACTTTATTCTAAAGATACCTCTGTGTATGTATCTAAAAAGTAGCATAAAGCTTATACTTCAACTGGATGGTATCTATTAATAGTTTATTACCACAAAGTGTGATGTGCTTATATCATGTGAAGTGAGACAGTATTATTTGGTCATTAGCATATATTGCAAGTCTAGTACTTACACCACAGATCTGGTTTTCATTTAGTTCTTAAAAAGATTTTCTTATTGTATCCTAGAGTATGGGTGAAGAATTAGATGAAAATATTTTGCCTGACAGAGTTGTTAGAAGAAAAAGACTCAGCAGTAAATATAATGATGAATATTATTAAGTAATTTTTAATTAAAGTTAATTTTGAATAAATTAAGTGGAATTTGGTTTATGGATGTGTATCATGTTAGGACTGTACAAACATTCATTAAATTGTGCTATTTAAAGTAGTATTTATTTCTTGATTTCCTTTAATATTTTGTTTGTTCTGACATTTACTAAGAGAGGCATGTTGAATTCTCCTCCTATTATTTTGGATTTATCGATTTCTTCTTGTAGTTTTGTCTTCTTGCTGCTTATGTTATTGGTGCATGTGTATAAAAATTCTGTATTTCTGGCAAACTCAACTTTTTCATTTTATGAAAGGAACCATCTGAATCTCTGGTAAGGTCATTTGCCTTAAATCCTATTGTGTCTGACATTGACATACTATGGTGATTTTTGTTAGTGTATGCATGGTGTATCTCTTTTCATCTACTTGTTTTCTATCTTTCTGGAATTGTATAATTTACTGACATGGCTTATAAATCGCTTAGTTAGATTTTTTTTTTTTTTTTAACAAATCCAGTGTGAATGTCTTTTTGTATTCCTAGAATATGTTTGAATGTTTTAATTTAAAATTATTATAATTATTGACATATTTGGATTTAAATATTTTGAGCTGCTTTTTGTTTTTTCTACCCAATCCATGTTTACTTCTCTTTAATTTATTTCTTTATGTTGGAATCTTTTTTTATTCATTCTGATTTTTAAATCAATTATATCTGTTTTAAAATGTTTAAACTTTTTAAAAGAGGTTAATACTCTTAGAAAATAAAATTGACTTTCAACTTTTTAAGTGTATGTAGTATATGAAGTAATAGAGTGTTTCCACATCCTTGCAGTAAAAACACTTTCATGATTTTTACATGTAACTTCGTAGTTTATTTTGAAAATTAATTGGTCTTTTTTATCATTTAATTGAATTGTGGTCATTTGCTTAAATTTTTATAAAAATGAATGGAAACTTTGATTTCTGGTATATTTTTAACAATTCAGAGGCTTCACAATAAAGCATTGTCACTTTTTATTATAGTCTAAGCCTCTCTTCCTTTTTATTTAATATTTTAATTTATAATTGACATAATAATTGTACATATTCATGGGGTACAATATGGTGTTTTAGTCCGTGTATACATAGTATAATGATTGAATCAGGGAAATTACCATATATATCACTAGAAGAATTGATCATTTTTATGGTAATAACATTCAAAATCTTCTTGTCTAGCTATCTTGAATTATATACTATAATGTTATTTGCTATAGTACCGTACTATGTAGCAGAACACTAAAACTTATTCTTCATGTCTGACTGTAACTGTGTACCCATTAACAAGCCACTTGCAGTGCCTCCTCTCCCAACCCCTCCACAGCCTCTGATAAATACTATTCTACTCTCTATTTCTATAAAATCAACTTTTTAAGATTCCACATATAAGTGAGATCATACAGAGTTTGTCTTTCTTGCCTGGCTTGTTTTACTTAACATAATGTCCTCTAGGTTCATCCATGTTGTTGCAAATGACAGGATACCATTTCTGTTTTATGGCTGGTGATATGGTTTGGCTATGTCCCCACCCAAATCTCTTCTTGAATTGTACTCCTATAATTTCCACATGTTGTGGAAGGGACCAGGTGGGAGATAATGAATCAAGAGTGCAATTTCCCCCATACTGCTGCTAGTTAATAAGTCTCTTGAGATCTGATGGTTTTATAGGGGGTTTCTGCTTTCACTTCTTCCTCATTCTCTTCTCTTGGCTGCCACCATGTGAGACGTGCCTTTCACCTTCCAACATGATTGTAAGGCCTCCCCACTCACATGGAACTGTAAGTCCATTAAACCTCTTTCTTTTGTAAATTGCCCGGTTACAGATCTGTCTTTATCAGCAGCATGAAAATGTACTAATACAGCTGGATAGTATTCATTGCAGAACCATGAGCCAATTAAACCTGTTTTCTTTGCAAATTACCCAGTTTCAGGTATTTTTTTAATTAGCAATGTGGAAGCAGACTAATACAAATCTGATTTTTAAAATGGGCTAAAGATGTGAATAGATATTTCTCAAAAGAAGACATACAAATGGCCAACAAATATATGAAAAAATGTTCAACGTCACTAATCATCAGAGAAATTCAAATCAAAACCACAATGAGATATCACTTAATCCATGTCAGAATGGCTATTATAAAAATGACAAAAATAACAAAATCTTTCAAGGATATGGAGAAAAGGGAACTCATACACTGTTTGTGGGTATATAAATTAGTGTAAACACTATGGAAATCAGTATGTTTTTTGTCCTTTGTTCTGTTGATGTGATGTGTCACATTTATTTGTTTGTGGATGTTGAACCATCTTTAATTCCCTGATATGAATCCCACTCGATCATGGTAAATGATCTTTTTAATATGTTGCTAAATTTGGTGTGTTAGTCTTTTGTTGAAAAATTCTGCATAAATTTTCATCAGTGATACTGACCTGTAGTTTTATTTTCTTTGAGTCCATGTCTTTTTTTTTTTTAAATCAGAGTAATGCTGGCCTTGTAGAATGTGCTTGGAAGTATTCGTTCCTCTTCAAGTTTTTGGGATAGTTTCAATAGAACTGGCATTAGTTCTTTAAATTTTGGTAGCAGTCAGCAGTGAACCCATCGGGGTTCTTGGACTTTTCTTTGATGGAAAGCTTTTAATTATTGCCTTTGATTTTGTTTCTCATTATTGTGTGTTGAAATTTTCTATTTCTTCACGATTCAATCTTGGTAACTTGTGTGTGTCCAAGAATTTATCCATTTCCTCTAGGTTTTCCAATTTGTTGGCATATAGTTGTTTGTAGTAGCCTCTTATGATCCTTTGTATTTCTGTGACATCAGCTATAATGTTACCCTTTTCTTCTTTAGTTTTAGTTATTTGAATTTCCTCACTTTTATTTTTAATCTAAAAGTTTGTCAATTTTGTTTATCTTTTCAAAGTACAGCTCTTTGTTTTGTTCATCTTTTATATTTTTTAAATCTCTTTTTTGTTTATTTCTGCTCTGATTTTATTAGTTTGTTCCTTCTATTTATTTTGAGATTGTTCTTTATTTTGGTTCTTTGAGGAGTAATTTTAGGTTGTTTATTTGAGTTCTTTCTACTGTTTTTCATGTAGGTGTTTATTGCTATTAACTTTATTTTAGGGCTTTTTTTCCTATATTACATAGGTTTTGGTATGTTGTATTTTCATTTTTCATTTGTCTCAAGGAATTTTTAAATTAAAAACTTTCTTTCCTTTGATGCGTTGTTTTTTTTCATGAACATGTTTAGTTTTCATGTATTTGAACAGTTTCCAAAGTTCCTTCTGTTATTGATTCATAGTTTTATTCCATTGTAATCATAAAAGATACTTCATTTGATTTCAATTAAAACATTTTTAAAAGTGGTTTTGTTGCCTAACATATGGTCTATCCTGGAGAATCTTCCATGTGCTATGGTGAAGAATGTGTATTCTCTAGCTGTTGGGTGACATGTACTATAAATGTCTATTAGGTTCATTTTGTCTAGAATGCAGTTTAAATTAAGTGTTTATTTTCATTTTTTATTTCAACTTTTCTTTCAGATACAGGTGTGGACGGGTACATGTGCAGAATTGTTACATGGGAATATTACACAATACTCAGGTTTGGAGTATTGATCCCATCACTTTGGTAATAAGCATAGTACTACATAGGTAGTTTTTCAACCCATCACCACCTTCCACCCTCTAGTAGTCCACAGTGCCTATTGTTCTCATATTTATATCCACATGTGCTCAGTACTTAGCTCCCACTTATAAATGAGAACATGCAGTATTCA